AAGAGAAATAAAAATAATGAAATTACAAGATACAAAACCCAACTTGTAGCTCAAGATTTCTCACAAAGATCAGGAAATGATTATGAAGAAGTATATTATCTCGTAATGAATATCATCACTTTTAGATTTGTAATTAGTTTGACTGAATCACAAAGTCTCGATATGCGCCGTATGGATGTAGTGACAGCCTATTTATATAGTTCACTTGATAGTAACATATATATGAAAGTTCCTGAAAGATTTAAAGTGCGGAGAGCAAATGATAAATGCCTGAAAATCATGTTCTCAATTAAATTGTAAAGATCATTATATGGATTGAAACAATTCGGACGTATGTTGTATAATCAACTTAGCGAATATTTGTTGAATGAAAGTTATAAAAATGACGATATCTGCTCATGTGTTTTTATTAAAAAAACAAATATTGAATTTGCAATTGTGGCAGTTTATGTTGATGGTTTAAATTTAATTAAAACTTCTGAAGAGCTCAACAAAACTGCAAATTATTTAAAAAATGAATTTGAGATAAAAGATTAGGGAAAAATCAAATTCTGTCTCGAATTGCAGATTGAACATTTCCCGTAAAAATTATTTGTTCATCAATTTACATATATAGAAAAAGTTTTAAAACACTTTTATATAGATAATGCACATTCATTGGCATTACATATGGTTGTTCGATCACTTGATGTGAAAAAAGATCATTTTCGTCCACTTAAATATGGAGAAAAAGTTATTTGTCCCGAACACAATATCTAAGTGGAATTGGAGTATTAACTTATTTTACAAACTATACTCGACCTGACATAACTTTTTATGTAAATCTCCTTACAAGATATAGCTTTACACCAACACAAAGATATTAGAATTGTGTTAAAACATATTTTTCGTTACCTAAAGGGTACTATTGATTTGAGATTATTTTATTTTCTAAAGTCGGGATTTGCTTTAGTGGGATATGCAGGTTACCTCTCTAACAACAACCATCATCAAATCATTCTGAAATTATTGCAATCTATGAAGCAGACTGAGAATCTATGTGGTTGAGGAACATGAGTATATGACTCATCATATCCAAGTATCATGTGAATTAATTTCAACAAAAGATAGTTCAACATAAACATATTTCTCAAAAATTCTTTCATACACATGAATTTCATAAGAATGACAACATCGATATTCAACAAATTCACTCAAGTGACAATGCGACTAATTTATTTACAAAAGCACTGCCAAAATCTACATTCAAGAAATTGGTTAACAATATTGGAATGCAACAACTTAAATATTTTCACTGATCAACACTAGGGGGAGTAAATGTACTCTTTTTCTTTCGCTTAGGTTTATCTCATTGGATTTTTCTAATAAGGTTTTAATGAGGCAACATTTATCTTTAACATTCTAAAATAAATGTACTTTTTTTCCTTCATTTGATTTTTTGTCCCGTTGAATTTTTATCAAACAATGTTTTAATGAGTCAGATATTTTGTAATTGTGTCGTTCAATGGAGAGTGTTGTAAATGGTAAGTTTATTAATGAATGACAATTGTATCCCTATAGTTCTAGAAATTATTATCATTGTATCCCTAATACTTCCATATAAATATATGGCTTTGGTTCTGATTATAATACACACAAGTCTATTGACTTTTATTCTCTCTTATTTTATTCTCTCTTTTCACAACAATTTTTTCATTTTTAAAATTGGTCAAATGTAATCAGACTATTTTTTTAACAATCCTCTTGATGTAAATCGTTCAGATATCCTTCAATCGCACATGATTGAAAGGTTTGGGATGAGCTATGTTACAAATGAAAAGTTGGGATAAAAGCTGTAACAATTTGAAAGGAAATGCAATTAATCCTTAATCTTCTTAAGCTAAGTCCAATTTTATCGAATTCAACGTATCAAATGGACAAGTAGCTTTTTGTTTGTGGTCCATGCAGTACAATGTGAGTAAATTGAGTGAAATAAGCAAATTATGCTTCAAATGAGAGGGTGACTGTCTGCAACACCATTTTCTTGGCTTTCTCTTGAAATTGAGATTGAGTGTTTCCATGTACAATCTCCAATGTAATTGAAGCTCTCTCAACACAACAATTTTAGCAATCCCCAATGTAAGGGACATTGGTATTGAGAACATGGCTAAGTTTGCCAGAAACTTAGGGATCTCCATTTGTGGAGTTGCTGTATTTTAGTGCGTTCATATTTCTACTTTCTCGTCTAATTATGGAAAGAATAGAAAGATATCAATTTTTGTCAAGTGAATGTTCCCGTGTATGCTTCTAGTGTTCCTTTCATGCATAAATATTGATTTTTCCATGTAAGATTTAGTGAACTTTTCGAAATTGTTCATAAAATTATGTGGAATGTCCTTGTCATCAATGCAGGAATTTTCTTCTAGCGAAATTGGATGACTTAAAGAACATAAAATGTGTATATGATACCTAATTCTTTGATTTAAAACAATGACAACTAATAGTTTTGACACCTAAATACGATTGAACTAAATTTGTCGTTATAACTCTGATTATGAAGTCGATGAATTGCGAGCATATAAAAAGAACGATCAAGATAGCATTCCATCTGAGAAATGGGGTTGCCACCTCACAAAGATGATGTGGCACCAAGTTAGTTATGTATGTATAGAATAGACGTTCTTACTTGATGTCAATATTCGGTTACCAAGCCGCAAGGTACATTGGATAGTCGTCCGTTAGTTCCAATAGCCTTTCCTTTGGATTAATGATCATCGATTGGAAGGGTTCGACCTCGACTTGATTTCGATGAAGCCTTTGTCACTATTCATTAGTCATTCACTCACTGATTGATGAATCAGTTTGGATTAATTGCAGGCAAGAACTTTACCAACTGCCTTGGCCCATACATAGAAGTCCAGCATACCGACTTTCTTTGGTCTTTATTGCCAGCAAAAACTTATGGACACTTGTTGATAAGTCAGACTATTAAAATCAATTGTCAAGCCTTCAATAGACTTTTGGCACACTATTACTTTCAAAGGCCACGTTGTTGTCGGAAAATATGTTGTATATTGTTCAAAATTGAATTGAGAAGAAGAAGAGAGAATTTAAAAATAGATCAAATGACCTAAAAAATGAACCACGCAGCTCAGTGGACCTTGTGGCCGCATGGCCATATACCGGAACTAAATGTCCTGGTATGTTTTATATCATGCGGCTGCATGGATTTGTACCATGCAGCCACATGGTACAAAATTCTGGTAGTTTTTTGGCATTTTTTTTCCGTTAATTTTTTGAACATGGTGTCTTTTCACTTATTTTTTTGGCACTATTTCATGCATTTGGACATTGCCTATATATAGGGTAATTGTGTTCAAGGATCAAAACAATGAAAAACAAGAGAAGTTCATATATACATTCCAATTAAAGATCAAAATCATTATTCTTCTTTCATATTCATATTTTTTTATTGTGTTCTTGAGTTTTGGAGGATTAAACTCAATTGCTTGAGTTTATACATACAAAGCTTGTTTAAATCCTGTAAACCATTTGCCATCATCCCTTCAAGCATTTTTCAANTTAAATCCTGCAAACCATTTGCCATCATCCCTTCAAGCATTTTTCAATCCTAAAGGGGGCAAATATTGTTTGAGGACTACGGTATCGTGATCAAGTCTTTTGGTTGATGTTTCAAGTTTGATTTCTTATCTTCAAGTTTGTGTTTGGTTGCTGCTACATTGGTTTGTTTCTTCTTCAATTCTCGGTGTATTCTCCATTGTAATTTTCAACAAAATATATTGATAAGATCGAGGTTCACTGAGAATTCACTTACATTTTCTCCCGCATACACTATACGATAAATAGTACTCAATTTCTATACAATCGAAGATGCTCTGCCCTCTTTTTGACTTGATGTCTCGGGGGACTTTAGAGATATATTTTTCATCACCTTCTTTGCAAGAACATGTTATGACTCATGATCGAAAATTGTCGGGGTCACTTCCAATTCACATGCATAAGGTGCAACTTTTCATCATAATTGATATACATATATTCAAAAGTCACAGCTTCTTCATACCAAGTTATACTACTTGAAATTGAGCTCTACTAACCAAACACGTGAAAAATATGGATTCTTCCACGAATGGTTGCACTTCATCCTAGATATAGATAATGTACAACTGTATAATGACTCGTTATATTGTACGATCATGTAACTTGCGTTTAACAAAGGCTTTGGAATTGGACCTCGAAGCCCAACCCATATCATCAAGCAAAAGATATAAAGCCTCTCAAGATTTGAATATTTCGGGTCTCGAAACCAAACTCATATCATCAAGCATAGATTGCAAATCTTTCAGGACTTCACCATTCCACACCTCGATCATAACATGACTCCGTAATACTCCATCTCTATCGGTTTTTTTAATAAGATTTTTAGTAAATTTTAATAAAAGTTGATGGAATGTATGATTAAAAAATTGTATATCCAATAAAATTTGTAGTTAAAGATTCAAATTAATACTTATATTTTCATCAACTTTTTAGCTACATTCACAAGTTTCCGTCCATCCTTGGTGTCACGTGTAAAATATTAGCTCGATGGAATTCATATGCCTAGTATTTCCTGTTTTAGCTATTAGCCTGTGGAACATAGTCTTGTACATTTGGTTTCATCGCTGGACATGTACTTGTTTCCATTTACGGCCAAATCAAAAATACTCTGTATTTCGTTTATTTTTACTTGCAAACTTAACAACATCATTTATCATTAAACAATGCAAAACAACGTAAATATTTACAAATATTACTGAGTGGCCAATACCTAAACAAGTACGAGTCTGACAACAAAATTTACGACGAAATACAATTAACTGAGATGATTCAAAATGTGTAAATCAAAAGGAGTTCATTTCAAGAATATAACTTCTGCTCTTGAGCAATCTCTCTGCAGCCTCAGCATAAATTCCTTCTTGTCCGAATGCTTCGGCGGCCAATTCAATATCGCCGCTCTGCTCCTCCATCTCATTCCGCTCTACACCACCGCTCACCGGCCGCACTACCACCAATGTGGCACCCTCCATTATCATTCCTCCAGAAAGTTCCATTCTTGCCTCGTGCCTCATCCTCATTCTCACTGCAGGTACTGTCGTCCTATTAGTCCTCCACCAAAATCCGCCGTCAGTCACGTTGCTCCTTTCGTTTTTTTCTTCCTGGACGGACAAATTCCGGCCTTCTTGCAGTCCGTCTTTGTCCACTATTACAGTTCCCTCGTTCTCCCTGTCGTTTACAATGAGATTTGTAAGATGATTTTGCTCACTAATCACGTCCAGCATCATGTAATGCCTTGCAGAGGCCGCGATCAAAGCACTTATAGTCCATACAACGCGCATTTTCAGGCCACCTCCAGCTCCAAGTCCAACATCGGCGCCACCATTATTATTAAAATCCACCATTTCTTCCAAACCCGTGCCGCTATTTTTGAACCCCAAAATTACACAACTCTTCAAGGTTTTCCCAAATCTCGCCACCCATTTAATCGTTGTTCCATTCTCGAGCCTCAGGTCTCCAGAAGGCAGCTCGATTCGGAGGTTCTTTATCCCGTCGAACCCTCGAAGGATCTGGGTCGGAGACTTCTGTGACCGGGTCGGGTCAGGCAAGGAAGACCTGTATGGCGAAATGATATCCTGAACTGACTTGAACAACGACTTGAAGAGTTTGAAAACAAACGAAACACCATCGTCAAACTCCGAGTCGGAGGCGGAGATTACCCTGTCAACACGGAGGAGGACTGAGTCCGTCTGAGGGACAAGCGAATTGAACCGCTTGGAAACGGATCGACAGCGAATGAGAGACTTGATGTCAGATATGTTGTTGAAGATAAGGAGTACGATCGGGTCGGGTAAGCTGTCGAAACAGTCGAATTCGGATTCATTCAGCAAGTAGGCCATTTTTTCCTTTTTGCTTTATGAGATTTTTCTGGGTATGCGATAACTGAATTGAATGAGAATAGGGAATGGCGGAAATATGAGGCGTTTGTCATGTCATGTGAATGGCTCGAACACCACGGCGCTTTAAATTTGACTGTTGACCAGTTATTTGTGGGGCCCTCTCCCTCGCTTGCTGGGTTTCAACCTCTGTAGCTAGCCACTGGCCTCTCTTTGATTTTATTATGAATCAGATTTTTAATAAATCCTAAAAAAAAAAAAATTGAAAAGTTTTGAATTTCAGTTACTGATTTTAACTTTATATTTTAATCAATTTTTTTTAGTTGAACCAAATATACACAAACGGACCACCTCAACGAGTCGCTTTTTCATCTACCAAGTTGAACCAGTTCAATTCGAGCCATGTCCATGCTTGAGTAATTGTTGTTAAAGTTTTGACAATAACAAAATACTTCTACAACGCAAAGAAAATAACCTTTGCCATTTGAGTTTGCCAATGGAATTATAGATTTTGGCGAAAGTGATAAACATACTCTCGATATTGTTAAAGAAAAAAATAAAAATAAAATTGAACTATGAACTACAAATTGTTGTTGCAACTTTCACAATAATCCAGAATGTGATGATTCTTAATCATCCTTACTGATTCAAAGGGGGTAATGGGTCAAGCTCTGTTTAATTAAAAAGTTTATCAGAAGAGGAAAAGCTGGTCGTTTTTCTTTATTTTTTTAATATTAATAATTTATTGATATTTTAATTGTGAAAGGAACATCAAATAATTTTGACTATTAATGACAAGGTCAACATAATTTATTTATCTATTTATTTTCATGTTTGACATTTTCGTAACTTAGACTCGATCAATTCTTATTTCTAATGATAACATAAAATTAAAAATATTATAATTATAATAACCCGAATGATATTTCTCGAGCGATCAATATTTTATATTTAAAAAAGAATAATGCTCCTTGTACAATGTTGGGTTACAACCTCTCACAAGGAAGGTGAAGCCCACTATTATTTTAATCGTCGAACCCACCTCCATTGTGAGGGGTTGTAATTCATGTGTTGTACATGTAGCAAAGTTCCTTAAAGAACTTTGGTGGTTTAATGAAAATGATATTAACACATTAATTGCTATGCACATGCAGTCTAATGATGCTGTGAAATGTGTAGACAATTTGTTCATTATAATTTAGGAAAACTTTTGTAACTTGAAATGCTTAAATCTTTTTTTTTTCTATATTTTTAATGATTAGTGATATTGGTCATTTGGTCAAGGATTAGGGAAACAGCATAATTGTTTTGGAATAAACCACGGGCAAATTGTCAATACCTACCTATATTAAAAAGACCATTCACACATGAATTAATAAAAAGTACAAGAGTGAAAAGAAAACGGGTAAATGATGAAAAACGGGGGGGCGGGGGGATATAAATGTTCTGCTTCCCCAAACAATGGCAATTGCAATATATTTTTTAGGAAATTACACCCAACCCTACTTTTAAATTACCATTTTCATAAATCCTAATTTAAGTTTCATATTTCAAAA